TTGAAGGAGTTGGGCTAATTTCGCAATTACTTGATTCAGAAAACCTGCTTGCTGCATATGATTAATGAGGGAAATTATCTGCTTTCAAAAGGTGGGGGACGCGTCTCGCAAAGATAGAAGCTGTCACGTCATTAGGATCTATCGCGCCTCCAATACTTATAACCCCTGTCGAATCCAGCAGCAATATACGTCTACAATGCTCAAGTTGACCGGCCACAAAAAAAAAAAAATACCAATTTTATTTGTTTAGGATTCAAAGTCAAGCTCAATGCAGAGAGGTCTGAGTGAATCTCCGATGAATACTCTCCTGAGCTTGTCCGCATTCGTCTCCGTTCTACCGGCTAGAACCATTTGGCTAAGTTTAAGTAGTATCTCTCTGTCTGTCAAATATACTTTTATTCAGCAGTTCACTCTAATAGTTAGTCAACTAAGTTCATATTTCAACCCGAAGAACATACTAATATCGCTTTAGTGGGACCATAGTACGTAATATAATACATAACCGCATATTCATCAAAATGACTTCTCGATTGCTACTAAAACCTGAATTGAAATACCAGTATCAGCTGCTTAGTGAAGTGCCAGCGAGTTGACATGCTCCTTGGCTCAAGAAGCGCTTGCTTAATTTTCGTAATTTTCCTGCAGCCTGTGTTCTTGACCGAGCACACGACTGCAGCTGTTTCTTGAAACGCGGACAGGCACAAAAGCTCAATTTCGCGGACAGGTAAGTCGCATGATCGAGGCATGCGAGTTAGCTAAACATTACTCTCGGTGGAACAATTTTGTAGTCATCGCCGCTTTCCTTAGATGATCAAAACTAATTAGAGTCTATTACCGTTTCTCCGGAGCCCATAGTTTCGGTTTTGATCGGTCTCCGCGGCGAAAGTTTGACATGAAAAGAACAAAAAACACCCGCAAAACAAAACTATGCTCGGCAAGTTTATGCGCACCGGCTAAACTTAAATGTCTCAGTTCAAATACCCATAAAATTGGGCATTCAACAAAAGAATAATTGTTAAATTGAATGCGCCACCCATTCAGGCGGCCCGGCCGAGCCGACGCGACCTGGACTCAGCCGCCATGTTTGTTTGGTGGTGGCGCCCCCTATAGGTCGCTGGAGTCGCGAATATGCCTCGTCGGGGTAGGGTTCCAAGGTCACGGGCGTATCACTCATGAAACTGATATCCATGGGACTTGTAACCAATGAAACTGGTTAATTATGAGACTGGTTACCCGTGGTATCGTGCAGCAGCATATTTGTTACTCCTCGCATGAGTAACGCACTCATGAGCAAGCGTAGTTACGCATGAATCAAGCGGCACTAAAGTACACTTTTGTGCCGCATGTCTGCGGGTAGGTGCTGCTATTTCTTATGTCTTTGGCAAACTATAAACGTTACATTCTCGCGGTGTTTCGCTTTGCTGGGCTAGTCTGCAAATTAGGCGCTCTTCGCACGTGACGCTCACTTCGCCTAACGGCTGCTCTGGCGGATCGGGCCAGTGGGAGCACTGGTTCCTCAGATTCCGACATCGAACGCTTTTCGGAATTAAATTTGGAGGATGAGAGCTCGTCATCTCACGGAGCTCTGCAAAGTAGCTCAGGATAGGAATCTAAAGGAATGTCGCGGGAGCGGATGCGCCAAAATGAAACCGAATTGAAGAAAAGTGACAAATCTATACAGTTTGCAAGCACTGTATGGGCTTCCGCTAGTTAATTGACGAAAAAACCTGCGCTTTGATTTTCTCTTTATACTATTCCTTTGGAAACAGAACTCGACCATTGTAAAACATACTTTGAGAAAAAAAGCTCGACCGTCAAAGGGTTAATACGCATTTTGAGGCACTCTAGTCCCAACTAGAGTGCCTTCATGTGCGCTTCTCCCTAGTCCCAACAACTCGACCCCGACAATAGTAATTGTGCCGAGTTGGGCCATCGAAAGCCCGAGTGCACGAGAAAGAGGAAAGAAGCACGACTCACCCTCCGACACGTTTTTTTTTTTTTTTTTTTCTATTTTTTTCTTTTCTCTTAGACGTTTTATTTGGCGATTGGGGGAGGTACATGGATTATTAGCCTTGACAATGCTTTTCGTTAGAGACTGTCCTAAATAAGGCCGGTTAATTTAATCTCACGAGGCAGGTCTCAAAAGAAGAAGCGTGGGATAGCTCGCTCTTGTCGCCCTTTGCACCGTGTTTATTCATACAGTGATGCTTGAAGGGAAGCTACGGAGCTTCTTGAAAAAAAATGAGAAGTGGATTCTACTGTATTTTTACCCCGTGAACCCGAATACCAAAACCATTTGCTGCGTAAGTGTTGTTGAACGCGAGAAAACGCGAAAGACAGTCGCGGTACGTGACGTCATCGACGGATCTTTTGGCTGCCCAAGGCTAGGGAGGCGGGGCTTCAGCCCCATTTCGAAATAGCTCGTATGGCTCTCCGGCGCCTCGCATTAAAACATAATTGTGATATCTGTTATTCTAAAGGCCGAATGAAAGCAATTCAAGCGTTTTTTCTCAAATGTAGAAGTGGGTTATAACTTCTCAAGTGTCGACCGCTGTCCTTGTGCGGTGCACGCGCCCTGTTTCTGGAGATCAGATTGGGTCATTTTCTCATACCATGCTCATCTCTCGCTTTCTATCTCCAGTGTATTTTTTCCGGCCGGTGGCTGAATCTCCTCCGTTTTGTCCCACGTTAGTTCACCTATTCTTTTGTTTTATTGAGATTGCGAATTTTTGGCACACCGTACTTTCACTAGACTATTTAAAAAAAAAAACCATCGAGCAACATTGAAAGTCGTCATTTGTGAGTCCTCGCGTCCAAAAGATGCTCAGAGTATGTGCCAAAACAATGGCCGCGACTCCGATCATTAGCGCAGCAGCTCCTAGATGACGCGCACTTTTGAAAAGGTTCCATTCATTTGTGCAGGTGAAGTTGACACTCAAGCACGAGCATGTTGTCCCAAACGATGCATGCACGAGCGCGCGTGCTTGACAGGGACGCTGAAAGCCCCGCAGCTCGCTCTTGAAGCTTCTGCCAGAGTACGGTGAGAAACCGAGGGGATGAGGCGATGGGAGCGTGCGAGGACGCCAGAGCACAAAGCTCCTGATAGAATGGAATCTCGTTCTTCGTCGTTATCCGTGCGCAATTGCGTAGACATTTTGTAAATGTGCGTGGTAACACTGAAGTTTATACTGGAAGGTGAATAGCAAGTTTATGCGTGATCTCGGATTGGCTCGATTAGTGGGTAGGCGCAAAAGCTGGCTGCCTCTAGCAGACCCAAGAAGACAGCGAGTGCCGACCATGGTTCAGCGCACTCCAGTACCCCCCCCCCCCCCCCCCCCAAAAAAAAAAAAAAAGTATCGTCCCAATACGCTAAAAACGAGTATTCAAACGGCACTCTCGGCTGTCACTGGATCGCGTATCGACCGCTTCCTGATGAGACTAAAAGAAGAACGTACCGCCGCCACCACGACAACGACGAACAGAGATCACCCAACATCGGACAAAACAAAACGGGCACCCGGCCACTATTGCGCAAACTTACAAAAAAAAAAAAAAATGAAGAAAGGTTTGCGAGGCTGATCTGGGGCCCCGAGGGCCATCGCCGGGCCCGTTTTGAGGTCGGCCCGTACGCCGAGACGGTACTCGGCCAGCCAGCACACCCGCCGCGCTAGGGGAGGGAGAGGGAGACGCACTAGTCGGGAGAGAAGGCGCGCAAAAATTCGAGTCGCCCAACGAGCAAGCACAAACTACATCGACCGACTTCCAGAGACGAAGTCGGTCCCGCAGGCGGGCTGGGGAGGGCGCAACGAGTAAAAATTAATAAATAAATAAAAAGAAAAACAGGTCCTAAGCGCACGTTGCTGCGGGTCGTGTACGGCGGTGGAGTACCACCCCGTCACCGCCTTCTTCGGAGGCGCCGACGACGGCAGCGAGAAAGACACCTGCCTGCTTCGTCACCACCGCGCTGGCTGGACCATCGACGCTAGAGCTCGAGAAACCATTGCCCCTTATTTTGCGATAATCGCGCAGGACAAGACACAACCGCCGTCGGTGTGAACGCATCTTCGGGTCATTGTAGTTTTAGCGTAATCATACCGCGGCAGTCAAGAAAAAGCACGTCAAATGTGAATATTCATAGTCTTGGTGTGCATATTTATATAGTTGTCCAGCTTGCTAACTCATGCTTTCATGCAAAAAAACGAACATTAGTTTTTTGCGTATTTACTTATTCTCAATCTCGGCAGGGGGTGTTCACACCATAGGCTTGCGTGCTTTGCTTAGAACATTTTAGGGGGTGTTCACATACACCTGAGAGGGGGATTATACACCACTGCTGCTAATGATATCGCTTTTCAGTGGCCGCCAGAGCGGCGGGGCTGGTGACGAAAAAAGAAAATGAGCGAAATGCCAATCTGATCGACGCTTATCCAAGACGAGAATGAAACCGAGATAGGCAACATCCGTGTCTGCCGCTACACAAATAGTGTCCGTGCATCATGCGCTTTTGTTGCGGATAATAGATAAGCTACCCAAGACGAAGGCGATCGTCTCGGCGAATAGCCTCGCTCCTTGCCTGCGGTTTTTATCAGCCCTTCGTTCGCGTGCTTGGAATATCGGTCAAATGTCAAAACACCGCCCACGCCCACTTATCCCCTCAAAACACCAAGAAAAAACCAAGAGCACGGACTTGCTCCGCAGATAAACCGCCACCGCTCTGCGAAATTCGAACGTGTGAGTCATCTAGCGTTACATAAAATTAAAACAAAAAAAAAACACCTAAAGGAGCTTGAAAACATGGGTCCGCGAAGCGACGCAAAGTCAAATTGTCAATCAAAAAAGGTGCAACGGGGCGACGAATTTCGGACGCGATCCGAGACACGACGCTGCAACGAACAATCCGCACTGAATTCAAAAAGCCGCCGCGCCAGTACAAACCCGCGCGTTGAGAAGCCCACCGAGCCGGTTGCCCAGCGGCGGGATCAAAACAAACACCGACTCACCTGCATCGGTAGGAGAAGGGACGTTTGGCCGAGCGTGTGTGTATCCGCGGAAAGGCGACGACGTATTCCGGGCGCGTAGTACGGCGGGTTCTTGTCTGCGGCACAAGTCTACGTCCGTTGCCTGGGCGGCGTGCAGGTTGGGCGAGCGCGCATCCAGGTGTGTGCGCGCTGCTACGCTGGGGAATGTGGCTGATCGCACCTTGCCGACACAGGACTGAAGCGCTTCCTGCCCGCTCCTTTTCCGAATCCCCAAGGGCGCGCGAGCGAGTCGCTCTTCTCGCGCTGATGGGAGAGGAGAGCGAACCGGCGAGCGGCCAGCGGGCGATTGAGCGATCGCTGCGCCAAAACGCTGTGCCGCGGTAGTCGGCGGAAGCGCGTGGATCGAGAAACGTGGGGTGGTAACTTGAAGCACTTGCAACGCGAGGCAGTGATACACCGTAGTGGGGAGTTTTGAGCGGATAATGGGGATATCGCCCATAGCAAAATGGTATCCCTCGATGAAATCGGTGTCGGAACTATAGGGCTGTATCTCTCATGTGTGGTCAGCGCCTCTGGCGAGCAAAATGGAATATTTCTTGGGCGTGTTTCGGTTTCGCGTTATTGCGCGAGCGAGATTTCCTCCCCTTTTCCCCCTCTTCTCGTATTGCTTACATTTAATTTTTGATATCACTGGAAAAGAGGGGAGGGGGTGGCTTTCGCTTCCCTTTTTGCTTTCTCACTTTCTCTGTTCTGAGGCCAATGCTTACAGATACGGTTACCACCAATTGAGAGCAATTTCGTCGCCGTTGAAGACGGCACGACACGTTGCTTGTAGTTCATGTCGTGTAAATATGTAAATATCCCGCTGGTACGGCAAATAAAATACGATACATGTAAAAGCGTGTTGCCAGAAATAGATCAAAGGCATTTCGAATGTTTTCATTTCGAATGCTGGCAAATGATCTCTGTGGATAAAAAGAATCAATATTCTCTTTCTTTATCTCTCTATCTTTTACTGCGTTTAGTTTCACCATATTGGAATGTCAGTATCGCCAGGGCAACATCTAAAAAAAAAAAAAAAAAGAAAACACGCTTATACTTTGTACGTTTATTTTCTCACGGTTGAAATTTCTGGAAAGGGCAATTTCGATTTTTGTGATCAACACTGAGGAGATAACTTTGATTTGTGACGGATTCATACATGATAAACATGAATGCGGCTAGCAATAGACCCCTTTCAAAAGTCACGTGCCGATTATTAGAAGGTCGGAACCACTGCACAATGGCGGCACAACTCACATCGTGGAACGTGCAAGTCATTCCATAAGATAGCGAACGTCGGAGCACGGCCAACGCTAGGAGCCGACGAGTCAATCAAACAGCTTGGAAAGTACAACGCCACTGCGCTCATCGTCTTTTTCTGTGGGTACTTTTTTTTTCCCCCCTTTTAATCCAACCCAACGCATAAAGTGTGCCGTGACGTTGCGGTTTTAATTCGCCATTGAGCAGAGATTCCACATCTGCCAAAAGAGTTCAGTCTTCAAAAGGGGTCTACGGGGGTCTATTTCGAGGTGTGCGCTTAATTCAAGTGGTGTATTGTCGGCAATAAATGTCGACATTTTCTAACGAAGGCAGTGTCAGCGTTAGTTTAACGCTACAACAAAAAATCATATGGTCTTTCTAATGTAGTAATGTAATGGAACGCGCCACACTTATATTAATATACAAATCTCGGCCCGTAAAGTTGGGTAGAAATTGAGTATACAAGCATTTCAACCGTTCTTGTGCTTGTCTTGTAATGACATGTGCGTCAAACCACCTTAGAACGTCTAAAAACTGTGCTTCCGTTGAAGGCATTTGGGAGTGTGGACCTTTTTTTTTTTTTTTTGCAGTGTTTTATTTGGCGGTGAAAATTTGATATTGAGACCTTGGCAATATCTGGGGAAAATCTCTTCTTAAATTGTTATTTTCTCGCAAAATTTCGTTCACGACGGTTCAAAGGCGTATATTGAAAGGCTTGTCTTTTTTATACATAAAACATTTCTTCTTCTTCTTTTTTTTTATAATGCAGAGACAATTTACTTTTTAATTATAGTTACCTTAAAAATAATCCCTACACAGGACTTCTCTCATTCTGGGTCGTTTAAATCAAAATTGCCCATTATTGTTAAAAAAAGAAAAGAAAGAAACTGAGTTAGAAAAATTAGTGTTATTTACAAACCAAATTTTATGTCGCCCTACTCTTTCTGCTTTTACAAACTCTTACATTCACTTCTTGAAAAATATGAAGATGCTTGCATGTCGGGGAGTCAGAGATGCTGCCATGTGACAGAAACAGAGGCAAATCCGTGCGCAAACAGCACGGATTCGAAACCGAAACTGACGTGCCTGCCGTTGCTTTCATTTGTTGAATTCAGATGGCGCCACAAACCTAAAGTGTATCTGTTTCTTTACCTTCCAACCCCGAGTTCAGCAACTTCCACGATAGATAATGAATAGGTTAGAAATATAAAATAGCCTTGATATTTTTTTTAACATAACAGGGACGTTTCTTATTATGTTTTTTTTGCCGCACATGATAACCCGTCAGACGGCGTGCCTGCTGCTCCATGCGACATTTATCGATTGCCCGTGTCGACCGCTGAGGAGCCTGCGATAGCAAAAAAAGGCTATCAGTAGGGGGAACACGGTAGATTCGCCGTCCGAGGCACCGCTCCGAATCACGCCCGCTTCAAAGTCATTCCACGCCTCAGGTAAAGGCACGATGCAAACGCGGGTGAACATCGATGAACCACGTTGGGACCAGAGCACCTACTGGGGCCGGGCGCGGCACTTCTTCACCGTCACCAACCCGGCGAACCTCCTGTGCACGAACCACGAGCTGAACGATGCACGCGACATCGTCGTCCGCTACCGCAAAGGTGAGACCATCCCGGGTCTCACCGAAGACAGACTGTGGCGCGCCAAGCACGTCTACGACTCGGCCTTCCATCCGGACACGGGCGAGAAGGTGACGCTCATCGGCCGCATGTCCGCCCAGGTGCCCATGAACATGTCCATCACCGGCTGCATGCTCACCTTCTACAAGACCACGCCGCAGGTCGTCTTCTGGCAGTGGATCAACCAGTCGTTCAACGCGGTTGTCAACTACTCGAACCGCAGCGGTGATACTCCGATACCCGTTTCCACGCTGGGCCTTTCCTACGTGCTTGCCACCGGAGGTGCCTTGGCCACCGCCCTGGGGCTCAACAGTCTGGTGAAGTCGGCACCTCCTCTGGTAGGGCGCTTCGTGCCTTTCTGCGCCGTCGCGGCTGCCAACTGCGTCAACATCCCGATGATGAGGCAGCGGGAACTTATGCACGGCATCCCCGTCGTTGACGAGAACGGCAACAAAATCGGCGAGTCCAAGACGGCCGCCCGGTGGGCCATCAGCATGGTCCTGCTGTCTCGGATTGGCATGGCCGCACCTGGTATGGTCTTCCCGCCGCTCGTCATGAACCAGCTTGAGAAGAGGGGTGTGCTCAAGAGGTACCCCTGGGTTGGGGCCCCCTTGCAAGTGGGTCTCTGCGGTCTTCTGCTCGCGTTCGCCACCCCCATGTGCTGCGCCGTCTTTCCGCAGAAAAGCCACATCTTGGTGAGCAGCCTCGAACCGGAGATTCAGGAGGTGGTTCGCAAGATGCCCAACCCTCCGACGAAGCTTTACTACAACAAGGGGCTTTAATTATCAATCTAGGCACATACCGTCCGTGGGAACACTACACATTTTTATGGACACCAATGTACGATGTTGCACCCCGAAGCGATATTGCTGTATCGCGGGTGCGCGGACCTGAAATGATTGAAGCTATTTTATATCAGGTTGCCGCCGAGAGGATAGATGTTACTACCTGCGCCGCCGCTGCCACACTCTTGTTCCTGGGGAAGGCACTTTGTACAAGCGGTTTCCTTCCCCCCTGTCTGATGTCCCTTGTGTGACCTCTCCTCCGTGGTTGCAGTGTGCAGCTTGTATAATAAAATAGAAAGTTGTAATAATTTCACTTTCTAGCTAATGTTTTTGTCCATGAAGCACCAGAACAGATGTGCTGTAGTGTTCTTATGCTATAAAAAAAAAAAAAAAAGAGAAAACATAACGGGGAAGAGAGAACGTTGCACTGGTACACAGCTTGATCTGGTACCAGTGGTGTGAGGCACCACACCCCGAAAACGAGAGCAAACTTTTGTTTATCTTTGTACAGCAGACATACACCTTCCCTGTATTTCATTATTGAGCTGGAGCCCACTGTAACCTTCCGGCAAAGCTTCCTGCTCGTCATGATCCAAATGAACCGAGTGAGTGAAAGCGATGTTTATTATCTTTTTTTTTTTCTTTTTTTGCAAATTCGACTGTTGCTTGTGCACTTCATGTGCACATGTCACTGTCGATAGGGAAGGGGATTGGGTGAAAAAGAAAGGATAGAAGGAGAGGATTAGGTTTGGGGGGGGGGGGGGGGGGGGGGGGGGGGAGTGAGATGCAGGGGATGTCCTGGCCGTCGCCGGCATGTCGAGTCATAGGACGACCCAAGCCTCAGAACGCAAAGCCTGTCGAAGTTTGATGTGGAGCCGTCTTAGGGCGAATAACTAAATATCTTAAAGCTGCGGTGGCTGGTAACTGTGCTTCAGGGCTAATATCGGCGCGAACGTTCTGTTGAAGGAATGCCGTTTCTTGTCTTGGCAGAACATGCTGTGTCTGAAATGCAGGTTTCGTAATCATGAGCTGGAACGGTAGATTGGGTAGTCGTGCCTTGTTCTGGTGTGTTGAACTGCAGGTGGTCTCCTAAAGAATTTCTAGGAGTGTCGTGTCCTTCATGTAAGTTGTTAGTTTTTTTTAGTGCCATGTCTGTCACAACTCGCGTTGCCCGCGGATGCAGAAGGTCCTCCAGGCTAGCGCTGGAGAGTCCGAGGTGGGAATAGGCGTTATGGAGGGCAGTACGCTCGTCATTGTAGTCGGTGCAGTGTAGGAGGAGGTGCTCGGCGTCAGCAGTTTCCTGGCAGGCTTGGCAATTGGGGTTGAGATCAGGCCTGAAGCGGCCTATCCACGCTGGTGTGAAAGCGCTTCCGGTCCGCAGACGGTGGAGCACCGCGGCAGTGTGACGATCCAACCCTCGTGGGAGACGGCCTGAGAACGTGCCGTCCGCCACTCTCGGGTCAAATGAACCGTGGTTTCCTCCCCCTCACTCGCGTTCTTTGAAGCGTTTGCTTTACTAAAGTGGAAAGGGCTTTGTAGGAAGAGCCTGTCCCAACTTTCTTTACCTGCAACAGACTACAAACCAAATTGGTGTACATAATAATTTGTATGTTACATATAATCGTTAGCAAATATTCGTGCCTAATGGTTCCACTGGACAAACATCGAACGAACACTGTTCACTGACATTCCAAATATACCTTGTTGGCAGATGTTCTTTGACTGGAGCATTACCAACCAACGGCATGTGAACACTGACAAGTGGAACTTCTGAAGGTTGCTGAGGTCATGCGAGGATCTAATTCCTGCCACGTGCATTGATATATGATCCGCTCGTTCGAGACGCTGGGCCAGCGCGGAGCGTCGGAGGTAGGGTAGATGATAAAAATCAATACGATATAAATCGTGATTTAAACCAGACCAGTTTTTTATGATGACTTAAGCTTGTTCACAAAGAACTGCTACCGAAAATATATTTTTTTATTGCTTTATTTACCGTTTGTCTATCATTTGATTCTTTCTGAGTGCATTGCTTTGCATTTTAATCAAAGAAGAAATATTTATGTCAGGCTGATTTCCCTACACAGCCTCTAGGAGGGAGGGGGGGGGGGGGTACACCTTCTCACCCTTGCTTATCTGAAGGCACCCCCTTAATTCGTAACGACACCTCTATTCTCAATGCCCCCCCCCCCCCCCCCCCCCCCACCCCTTCCCCTAATTTCAATTCCGGGTGAAACCCCTGGTCTGAACAGGAGCAAAAAGAAGTGTTCTTTTGAGCCAATCAGAGCGTTGAGCTTGATTTGACCTTCCACTTCTTTCATCAGTTATGTAACATACAATTGCAACTAGATCAGAACTCGAAACAAAAGCTAGGAAAGTAACAGTCCTGTTGCAATCAAGTAAAAAAAAAAAACAAAAAAAAAACAAGGTTGTTGTTGTTTTGGCGGTGATTACATTCATAAAGTGTTGTTAATTAAACTGTGATTTAAATTTACACTAATTCTTCCGCATTTTTATTAGTGAGCAGGCGCATTGATAAATCAATCTGCTATGTTTAAATAAACATCTACCGGTAAAAAATTACTATTCTTTAGATACTAGTATTTAAATAAAAATAATCTGATTAAAATAAAATAAATCTGTTTTTTTTTTTTTTTTTTTTTTGTCAAAAATGCGTGGCATTTGTTCCACCCTGGTCGGAGGACTTTGACCCGTGCGAGTTTTTATACGCAGCTTCGTCGGAGCAATTTCCAGTACATACCAATGACCGTCCAGCTTCCAACCACTCGTCGCTACCTGCGGAGGAAGGTGGGCGAATGGTGATCCTGGCGTGAATATATCGGTGTTGGGAAATACTTAAGTACTATTTCAAGTAGGTTTCAAAAGCTTATACTCGATTAAATGTACATTATCTGAGCGCGTACTTGTCCTAAATGTTAAACCGATATTCAATTTTTTTAAAGGTCGTAGATGTGTTTGATTGGATTCTGCGAAGCCAGAAACGCCATTTATACGGTGGCATCTCAAACAAAACGCTGTATTGCAGAAATGTCGCGATCGAGCTGATCCCGCCATTGAGATGTAACACGTTCCTCCTCGCCTTCAGGCTTTCTCTTTCGCGTCAAGCGCGTGAGCCTTCGAGGACCACACGTCCCGACGCTCGCAATTCGATTTTTTTTTTTTTTTTTTTTTGCGGTTTTCGCTTTTAAATGTATCTCGTCATGTATGGCATGCCTCTAGATTTGTTAACAATATCGCGCGAACGCCGACCGGCAGGTAGATCAGCGCCTTATCGCGGCGTGAAAGAGGTCGGCGAGATTTCGCGCGTGTGGCAGAAGGCAGACTCCTAGCCCCTGCTCGCGAACTTTGCTGTTTCACGCCGCGACAGGGCGCTGATCTACCGGCCGGACGCTGTTCCCGCGATATTGTTAAAAAAAAAAAATCTGAAGGCTGTACATATATTATGGTTGCTACTACGAGATCATCGCATTCCGAATTTTCGGTTCAGTATCCTTGTAAAGTTTATTTTTCTTTTTTTTCTGGCACTTTCCGAGGAAAGTAAGACTCCCGACTTCAAAGTATGCATTCTCCAATTTCGGTATTGCTAAATTTGTATCACAAAATAATGCTTTCATTGTCAACTCTAAGGAACTACTGGGGTGGATAATCTACTCTCACCAGAAGTGCGAGCGGACGAAAAATCGCTCCGGACGGCTTTTATAACTTGGTGAGCGCAAGCGTACACTCCTGCACGAGAGGATTGCATGCTATCTCCATCATAAGAGATTGTGTTAAAAATAACTTGTACTTTACTTTGTAAGCGCATTATATTTATGGTGCTTTACTTCAAATACATTGCGCCCGGTGTATATACTTACTACTTTACTTGAAGTACATAACCTCTCATTTAATTTATATTTTACTTCAAGTACTCTTTAGGTGTACTTTGCCCATTACTGGAACATGTGATAGCAAGCTTCCTATATTTCGCTGAAAAAAATTTTAAATAGAAACTGAAGCGGTTCCGTATTTGAGGAAAAACACACAAATCGTCTTCATTTGGCCTCCAAATTCACGAATATCGATTTTTTTAAATATATATTTAGTGCGCGGAGTTTTTACAAAATCATTTTCAAAGTAGCGCTGAAACCCTTTCTCCCCGGAGCGTGACGTCATATAAGGAGTTTTCGGAATCTCCGCTCTCGCGCATCTACAGCGCCCATCAAAAGCTATACACGCGCACTTTTGATATATATATTTTTTTTTAAATGCCAGAAAAACACGACGACTGGTGTCAGTGCTGAGGAGTATACCAGGCCAGCTTCCATTTTGACGTTTCCACGTCAAAATAAAAGCTTATGTAGCGCCGCATACAACCTTCTTCGGTGTCCAAACCCACGCCCATACCGCGTCACTCGGATCGCCAACTGACCTGGACTGCATACAGTGTCTCTTGTACAGGGCACCGGTAGCCTTGCCAGTAGCCAGACCTTAGCTTTTGCCCGCTTTCCCCAGTCATTGAAGGAAACATTAGCCTCGTTCGGCACTCGCGGCAGCTGTCCTCTCCTCCCCCCTGCCAATCAACAAGCCCCACTTGGCTTCGTAACTCGCGCACATCCGCGCGGACGGGACCGACAAAGAAATGCGGGTCTCCTTGCAAACGGGGCCGGTGGGCGGCAGCCCGAAGTGGCCGTTCGACAGTTGGCGGTCGGGGGAGATTCTGACCTATTTCGGTTTCCACTCGGATCAGGCGCCTGTGTCGCCGCCGGCATCTTCGCGCATACTCCAAAGGAAGTCGTCCCGCTGGCCTCGTCTTTGGGGCATTATTGACAGTGTCGGTACAATTAGAGCGCCGAGAGCGTAAAGAAAGGGCGTCGGCAATTGACTTTCCACGTGCGCCACGTAGCTCAAATAAACTACTTTACTTTGCCATAAAAAAAAAAATAATAATTTTTCTGTGGATGAGATTTAGGCTGCACGTGAAAGGCCCACATGTGACCTTAATGAATCTTCAGTCCGTTAAAGGAGCGATGCAACAATGTTTGTACTTTGCGCAAATACCGCTTAAAACGGATCCCTAACGTTATTGACCTATGAAACACGCGTTCGTTCTTCACCCCACGCAATAGAAGTCCCAGAAAAAAATTTAAGAAAAACGAGCAGCGTTCACCCCCTCAACTCGTAGCCAGAACAAGCGGCCACGCGATCTGGAGCCGATTATATGCCGCCAGTGTTGATCATAGCCACGCGCTGGGGTTGGCAAAGCGCAGGACACGCGCTGAGTTCCAGAAAATGTTATGGCTCGGCTGTTGT